CCTCGCAAGACACACCATACAGAGAATGCCTCCAAATCTTCAATGCATGAACAATGGCAGCCAACTCCAAATCATGAACGGGGTAGTTCTTCTCATAGGGCTTCAACTGACGAGAAACATAAGAAATAAATCTACCCTTCTACATCAATACACACCGAATACCAACTCTCGAAGCATCACAATACATGGTATATAAACTTGAAGTTGATGGCAAAACTAACACTAGAGCTGTGGTCAAGCAGTCTTGAGCTTCTGAAAGCTCTCCTCACATTCATCCGACCATACAAATGAAGCACCCTTCTGAGTCAACTTGGTCAAGGGCGATGCGATAGATGAGAATCCCTGAACAAACCGGCGGTAATAACCCGCCAAACCAAGAAAGCTATGAATCTCTGTCGATGAGGACAGTCTGGGCCAACTCTGAACCGCCTCTATCTTCTTCGGATCAACCTGAATACCCTCGCTAGACACCATGTGCCCTAAGAAAGCCACTGAACTGAGCCAAAACTCACACTTGGAGAATTTTGCATAAAGCTTCTCCTCTCTCAATTTCTGCAACACAACTCTTAAATGCTCTGCATGCTCCTCCTGACTACGCGAATACATCAGAATATCATCAATAAAGACTATGACAAACGTGTCGAGATAAGGCTGGAACACGTTGTTCATCAAATGCATGAATGCTGCTGGGGCATTAGTCAGCCCAAAAGACATCACCAAGAACTCATGATGACCATATCAAGTCCTGAAAGCTGTCTTAAGAATATCCGAGTCCCTGATCTTCAACTAGTGATAATCTGAACGGAGATCAATCTTAGAGAACACTCTCTCTCCCTGAAGCTGGTTGAATAAATCATCAATGCGAGGCAAAGGATACCTGTTCTTAACTGTTACTTTGTTCAGCTGCCTATAATTAATGCACATCCTCATAGTGACGTCCTTCTTCTTCACAAATAGAACCAGCGCACCCCAAGGCGACACACTAGGCCGAATGAACCCCTTATCAAGGAGTTCCTAAAGCTGTCCGTTTAACTCCTTCAACTCTGCTGGTGCCATACGATACGTCGGAATAGAAATGGGCTGAGTGCCCGTCACCAGGTCAATACCAAAATCAATATCCCTGTCCGGTGGCATGCTCGACAAGTCTGCAAGAAACATATCGGGAAACTCCCTCACAACTGGAACAGAATCAATACTGGGAGTCTCTGCACCGACATCCCTCACAAAGGCTACATACGAAAGACAACCCTTCCCAACTATACACTGGGCCATCAAGAATGAAATTACCTTACTAGGAACATAATCAGTCAAACCTTGACACTCAATCCGTGGCACACTCGACATAGCTATTGTCACTGTCTTAGCATAATAGTCCAGAATAGCACGACACGGAGATAGCCAATCCATGCCCAAAATGACATCGAAATCCACCATACGCAATAACAACAAATCCACTCGGGTCTCTAGACCCCTAATAGTCACCACACACGACTGGTACACACAGTTTACAATAACAATACCGCCCACCAGAGTAGATACATGAACATGTGAAACAAAAGACTCACGGGGCATATCCAAATAACGAGCAAAGTATGATAACACATAAGAAAAAGGTGGAATCGGGATCAAATAATACAGAAGCATCTCTGTGGCAAACTGAGACAATACCTGTAATAACAACATCGGAAGCAATAGCATCGGGTCTAGCTAGAAGTGCATAGAAACGGGCCTGACCGCCACCTGATCGACCTCCCCCTCTAGGGCAACCCCTAGATGACTGACCTCCACCCCTAGCTGGCTGGGTGGGTGATGGTGAAGTAACTGGTGCTGAAGTCGATGGCTAACTCCTCTGCTGAGATGAACCCGCAAGACGACGAGGACACTGCCTCCACATATGACCCATCTCTCCACACTCATAGCAACTCTCAGGCACTGGAGACGGGGACTAAAGGGAACCCCTAGCACCGAAATGACTAGCAGATGCACCTGGCATAGAAGAGCGTTGAACTAATGGAGCATGGGACGAACTCTAAGCTGGAAGGGCACTAAGTGATGACTGGCCCTAATGAGAACCATGAGAACCATGACCCGATGACGCCCCACGATAACCTGTGCGAGCTGACTGAGCATGCCTTAATGGACGGCCTCTGTCGTGCTGAAACTGACCTCTCGAAGGGGCACCACCATAACTTCCAGATCCTCGAGGCCTCTTGGCCTCCCTCTTATGTCGCTCCTGGCGACGAACTGACTTAATCTCATGAGCAATGTCCACAACCTCCTCAAAAGTAGCACCAAACACCCTCTCCCTGTCATGAGAATACGAAGCTAATAGGTGAGGCCATCCACAAACCTCCTAATCCTCTCCCTATCTGTCAGAACCAACCAAATAGCATGACGAGCTAACTCGGAGAACCTCATCTCATACTGCATCATAGTCCTCTCTCCTTGACACAACCACTCAAATTGCCTGCATAGTTCCTCTCTGCGAGACTACGGCACATACTTCTCCAGAAAGAGAACGGAGAACTGCTGCCAGGTAAGGGGTGCTGCACCAACAGGCCTATGCCTCTCATAAGCCTCCCACCAAGTGAAGGCAGTTCCAGAAAACTAAAAAGTAATTGGAGCGACCCCGTTGGTCTCCAGAATAGCCGCTGTGCGAAGAATCTGCTGACACTTGTCCATGAAACCCTGGGCATCCTCGCCCTCTGCACCATTAAACGTCGGAGGCTGAAGTCTACCAAACCTCTCCAACCTACACTACTCGTCCTCTGGCATGGCAGGAGATACATAGTCCTGAGCAGTTGTAACCGGCTGGGCTGGATGTGCCCTTGGTGTCTGAAGTCCCCGCACGACCTGCTCAGGTGTGCGAGCGGCAGGAGTTTGAGTGCCTCCCCCAGCCTGAGAAGTAGCTACTGCTGTAGTAACTGAGACCGCCTAAGCTAGGCTAGTGCATACTGATAGAATCTAAGCCAAGGCCTCCTGAAGACCCGAAATTATAATGGGCACAGCTGGTGCTGCTGGAGCGTCCACAACTGGGACCTGATCCTGAATTGGGGCAACTGGTGGATTTGCAGGTGCTTTCCTAGCTGCTATGTGGGCCACACCCCTGCCCCTATTGCGACCTCGACCGCATCCTCGGCCTCTAGTGGCCACAACTGGTGGTACTGGTGGTAGCCCATCCTGACCGATAACGTGTGTCCTCACTATCTGTGAGAGAATAGAATAACGGAAGTTTAGTACTCGGATCAACAGATTCGCACGACAAGAATTTCAAGAATATGATGTTTTTCCTAAAGTTTCTACAGCCTCTCGAGGATAAATACAGACGTCTCCGTACCGATCCGCGAGACTCTACTAAACCTGCTCATGAATCGTGATACCTATGTAACCTAGGCTTTGATACCAACCGGGAAAGGCTTTGAGTCACCTCCTACAGTCCTAACCTGAGTCATAACTCCATCATCCATATCCTTTATCACCCTAATGTAAGCCACTAGCACACCTTTCACCTCCAAGCACCTCCAAAGGATGTCTTTAGGGACTTTGTCATACGTCTTCTCTAGGTCAATAAACACCATATGCAAATCCCTCTTCCTATCCCTATATAGTTCCACCAACCTCATTATAAAGTGGATAGCTTCCGTGGTAGAACGACCCGACATGAACCCGAACTGGTTTTTCGATATAGACACCGCCCTTATTCTACGTGTTAGCAAAAAGTCGAAATAACATCACATAAATCTTAAATGTCTTTTACGCCATTGTTTGTTTAATTGGCATCTTTAAGTTATTATCTCTCATTTATTCAAGTATTGTTTATAAGATTAATTTTAAAATAAATTATAAAAAAGAGTTTATATAATTTTTCATGTTTACAAGACGAATGCAATATTTATTTATAATAATTCTCTAATTTATAATAGATTTTTCTATTAAGTTATACAAATTATTTTTTAATCAAATAAATAATAAACCAAAATGTTAAAATTGTACCAGTATAAGTTATGTAATGCGATACTAAAACTCATAGAGCATAGGTAAGTCGTCGAAAAGTATGACGTCTTATCCTAGTCCTAGAGAAAGAAGAAACATTAGGAACTCATACAAGTGATCTTTCAATTTTTCATTTTCAAAAGGAGGAATAAGGATTTCTAAGGGACGCTTTTATAGATTCATCATGTAAATATGCTTAGTTCTTCAAAATATCATAAAAAGAAAAAGCAATGCAGTGCGCAAAGCAACTTGAATTTACGTAGTATTCAAGAAAAAGTCGCATTCTAAAAGAATTTGATGCATGGAACCTACTTTGATGAAACTGAAGGATTGCATATAAATGTTCGTAATATGCAGCAAAAAACAATAACAATCTTAGGCAGATCTTTTCGTGTTTAAAATTTCTTTACATGTCAAAGATCTGATCTAAGACGTACCTAATGAAAAGAGTCTCGTTTCAAAAATTATTCGATAGTGCGAAGACTCTATGCATATCCACACCGAAATCAATCCTTGCTATAAACTCTTTGTTGGGCTATCTGATGGGCCGTTACACCTAGGCCCAAAACAAGAGCATAAGAGATAAGTGGTTCAACACACTTATTTATATTGTAGCCAATTGTAATTGTATAGTTAGCTGATTTTTCTTTTGTAATTGTGTAGTCAGCTATTTTTGTAATGAGAACACTGAAGTATAAATACCACTAGAGGAAAAAAGTTTAATTGGCTCGATTCATTTTATCTCTCTTTCTTTCTTGTCTTTCTCTGAATGAACATTTTGGAGACCTAGAGCTCCATTGATGATTCCATCGAATCAAGCTTATTCATGAGTGTTAATATGGTATCAGAGCAGAGAATACTCATTTGCTCTTCATCCTCTATCGAGCAATACTAACCGGCTTTTGTTTTCATCAAACTTTCGGCATTCGACCAAACTTTGCAATTTAGGGATTTTTGGTGAAGATTGCTGGAACGTTGCTTTTCTGTTGTTCCTAGAACTTTCATCGATGGAATTGAAGATATTTTCTAGTTTGAGGTGTGTTTCTGTCAAAAAGTTTGAAGATCCACTTTGCATGTATCGAACCTAGGGTTTCTACGCAACTTAAGGTTTTTTTGGCTCTTCTTCTGTCATTTGATTTTTTTAGGAATTGGCTGGCTATTGTCTTCAAGGCCTTTGCTTCTTCAGGTTGCGAAGAAGTTCAGTATCTCTTTTATCTCGCTAATTTTCGTTTGAGAATATAGTAAATCTGTGGTTTTTATGTGAATTTGCTATTGATATGGGTAGTTCTGAACCTAGTGCATCCACTTCTGCGTGTACTTCCATCATTGATCCTTCTTCTCCTCTATTCCTTTCATCTTCCGATGTTCCTGGTATTTCCCTCACTATACCATTCTCAGAGGTTGGGTTTGGGAGGATGGAATTGTAATATGATTGTTTCCTTGTATGCTAGAAACAAAATAGGGTTTATTGATAGATTATGCATTAAACCTCCTGAGAACTCTCCTCAATATAGGCAATGGGATCGTTGTAATAATATGGTCATTTCATGGTTAACCCACTCGTTATCACCTGATATAGTTGAAAGTGTACAATATTCAGAAACTACTGAAAGTATATGGAAACAACTTAATAATAGATATGGAGCTGTAAATGGGACCAAGGTATTCTAATTCAAAAGACAACTTGCCTCCACTTATCAATGATCTCTTGACATTGCTTCTTATTTCAATAAGCTCAAAAAGGTCTGGGATGAACTAGGGGTTATGTGCACCACTCATGCAAATTCATGTGTTTATGCTGCAAAAGAGGGCCTTCAAAGGGAGAAAGAGGAGGACAAAGTCCATCAATTTTTCATGGGCCTGAATGAGGTGTATGTAGGGGTTAGGAGCAATCTGTTGATGATGCAACCCCTGCCCTCTCTTGATAGTGTGTATAATATTCTTCTCCAAGATGAAAAGTAGAGACAAGTCAATTCAAACCCTTCCTTTCAAGCTAATTCAACATCTTTTAATGTGAATTCATCTTTCAATAAATCCATACAACCTCACTTTCAACAAAAACAATTCAATCCTCAACTCCAACAAAAGCAGTTTCATCAAAAGGTGAACTTTGATGAGTCCAGAAATGGTGTTTTCTGCAAGTATTACAAGAAACCTGTGCATATGGTTGACAACTGTTACAAACTCAATGTCTTTCCACCCAATTTCAAGTTCACCAAAGGAAGAAAAGGAGCAGCTAATATGGTTGAAAATTGATATTTTATACTTAAATACCACATAAGAAGATGGGGGTGATTTGTGTAATGTCCAATTTTTCACTTAAACTGATTATGGAAGGACCTGGTCCTTCTAAGTGTTTCTTAACCTATTATTGCAGAAATAGTAAATGCAGAAAGTAAAGAACACAAGTATTTTATGTAGAAAACACCTGGCTCAAAAGGTAAAAAAAACCACGACCTACTTTTCAGTAGGATTTTCCCAAATGCTCCACTAAAATCACTGAGCCACAAACTGCATTTACAAAAACCCTTTTGTAAACCTAGGATTAAATCTAATCTCGTTGTGGCAAACAACCTCTAACTGCTGCGACAACTTCAAGTTAACTCTAACTTGAAAGTTCTGAGTACCTATTACAATTGCCTCTAGATAAAGCTGAAAGGTACAATATGAAAACACCTACTACAATTGAACTAGAATAAAAGACAGATACTTGGAACTAGTTATTCTATCTGGTTCATGTATCTTCAGGTTTGCACCCTTGAATCACACATGAACTGCTTGCAAAATTGCCTTGCTATTTTGCTCTCAATTTATGTTTAACTTCTGCGTTTATGCAACACTTGTAATGTGATAATATCCTACAATTTATAGAGTTAGTAGATGAAGAAATAACTAGAGTTCTAATGCTACTCTTCCTTGGTGGAAGAGTTCTAGTTGATCTCAACTTCTAACTCCTTCCTTATCTTGGATAATGTTCTCTTTGAGTAAGGAGTCCTTCTCCTTATCAATTATGCAGCATTTTCGATCAGGAGATATTAAATACACCAAGTTAAGCTTATCTCCTTCACGTGCATCCCACATGCTCGAATCTTCCCCTGAGGGATGGACCTAGTTCATGCATGAGCTTCCTATGTCAATCTTCAAAACTAACCTTCATTTGGGCCAACAAATTCCCCCTTTTTGATGATGACAAACTCTGTGCTTTTCATAAGCTTAGACTCTATTTCAACTCAGCTCAACAATAACACAATGTTAGAAATATTTTTCCTTTTAATCACTTCTCATCAAGGACTAGGTACATTAGGTTATAAACATCACTGTTCAAAGTGTAAAGCGTGTAAAGCACAACTTTTCCCCCTTTTTTGGCATCATCGAAAAGTTGCATAAAAATGTGAGATAACCAGGTTTTAAAGCTTACTCATGGCCACTAGGGCTACTTCAAATGCAATCATGGATTAATCATCATAGATCAAGCTAATAATTTTAACCATCAAAGAAATATAAACAAATAGTTAGAGCAAAAGACAATGAATTTCATTGATGATTGATAAGATTCTACCACAAAGCATAAGAAGAGATAAAAATACTGTAAGCATGAGCAAAAACAACAAAAAATCCCGAACTGGGTCACTGGTTGATCTATAATAGGCTAGGAGGCTTAAGGCTGGGAAGAACTAGGCGCTTGGTTTTTGACTTGGAGGAGTTTCAACATATCTTGAAGAATGCCACCATTCTTTTCTTTTTCTCTTTCCAACTCAGTTCTGAGAGCATCTCTCTCAGTCTCCACCTCAACCAACCTCTTCTTTATCCTTTCAATCTCAGCATCCTTAGCTCCACTTTCTTGCACCAAGGCTCTGACCTTGCTATTCACTGGTACCTTTTGGATGAACCCGGTTCTTTAGGAGTGGTATTGACTTCATAATCGCAAGCAGGCAGAGTATTAACCCCAAAATGATCCTTGCTTGTACTAACCTCCCACTTATTCATAGGTGCCTTGAAATATGCAAGCATAGTTGTGAGAATAAAGCCATAGGGAATGGTATGAGTCTTGAAGCCATTTGTAACCCTATCAGTAGGTTCGGGAGGGTTTCCTGTTCAGATGGAACAGGTTCATCTATGTTTTTCCAAATTGAACCAACCCCTCAGCAGCTTCGCCAGACCCACTTCCCCTTGTTTTGCTCACACTCTCTTCTATTTCAGTAAATTCCTCTCCCCAAACAACTATTGCACCAGTTTCTTTTGTTAGACCAACAGGAGTGGGTGAAGAATCAACCACTTTTTTACCCTTTCTCCTCACAGCACTCCTATAACCCTTGCTCTCTTTTTCTTTTCCCTTTTTAGTTTTACCACCACCTTCTCCAGATTCTGTAGTCTCAACACCTACTATAGATCCTACCAATACAAATCTTTTCTCAAAATTTGCAGCAACGTCAGAAATTATCTCAAGAGTAACTTTAGAATCATTAGATACCTGTTCAGTTTCGGAAGAACTACTTTCTCCCCCCTTAGTAGCAGACTTAAATGAATCTTCAGATTTCTGGGATTCTTCTTCCCTACCTGCTTTCAATTGCTTGTTTATTTTCTTGATTTTCTCTCCGTCAGCGACAATCTTACGAGCCATCATCTTTACTCTACTTTTCTTAGAGATTGGTGTGGTTGAGGGAGTGGTAGAAGGTGTGGAAGTGGTTTCCTGTGGTGGTAATGAAGGATTTTCAGAGGTGTTCGACATATCTGGGGAAGGGTATGGAAGAGAAGAGTATTAGATTGTGATTGAAAGATGAAAGAAGAATGATAGTTTTTGTCGGCTTGAGAGATATGAAGTAAGGAATACATTAAAGCTGATCAATATACAGAGGAATAATTGATGGGGTAACTACAACTTTTCAGACTCTTAGAAGTCTAATCAAACTGAAATTCAGTTTTGAAGAGACGTTGGAGTGTATCTCTAGAATCTAGGTACTTCCATTCGGTAGGGACTCTTTTAAATGGAACTGGTTCATTTGTAATGGATAAGTCCAAAAGGAGTTTGGAATTAGGTAAGACTCTGCTCATGATCCAAATATAATTATTTCAAATTATACAGAGTGTAGAAAACATACCTATTTATCTTGATGAACTAGGTTCTTTGTCATGACCCCTTTTTCCTTCGCGGAATCAGGTTCATGACATTTGGTTGGGACAGATTTTTCCTTTTGGGAAAGGGGGTCGCATTTTGAAGAGTCGCCACCTAACGATTTAAGGTGCGTTAGGGAACCTATAGGGTTTATTCATAACTACGTTTGGTAACCAGAGACAAGGTAAGAGCTTGAAATTATCCTAAGGGAAAGGTATTAGGCACCCCTCAGGATCTACTAGTGTGGTTCCCGGCCAAACAGTTTTTGTGAATTGTACAATTAGCAAATAAACAAGTATGGCTCAAATAGTAGGGGTTTTAAGTTTAAATACACAAGTGTTTGAAAACAGCTAGTGAAAAAAGCGAGATTTTGAAAATAGTTACAATCTAAGCATGCTTATGAATATAAAGGGGGTGTCCTAGGTTTGTTTGTAATATGGATCACATCAATGCAATACTCGGTATGACACTCCTCAAAGAGGCACTACACCTGGTATTAACGCACCGATCATCATATCCATATCTACCCTTTCCCACCCCATGAAGGTAATTAAAGCAAGGGTTGGTCTCGACCCTTATTGCATGCTATTACCTATCCCTTCCTATCAGTCCCAGAGGAATTTAGGACTCCTATCCTATAAAAAGGGGAAGTTCTAGGCAGACCCTCAGGTTAAAAGGCAAAATACTAGGCGACAAATAAGAACACATAAAACTGCATTTAGGGGGAAACACAGAAACAGATAGAAGGCTCAGATATACCTCCACAAGTAATGCAAATAGGCAGCACGACTCATACACAGGTAAAGTCTAAATTTAGATCCTAACAAGGTATCTAAGTGATAACAGCAGAACCAGATTTATTACATGACTCAGAAAAGGCGTCTGAATTAGGCTTGCCTACTAATTTTAAGCCTGTTAATCATTAAATAATACACATAAGAGCAATTTTTAGTTTTATAAGAGATTGAATACCTAAGGATTGCCTAAGCATTTACCAGAACCGTTAGAAGTTCAGAAGTCATTTTAGCCTAAGAGCATATTGTTCTAGGTGTTATAAAATACAGGGATTGTTACTAGTTTATTTTAAACAAGATAATCAAATATGAAGCTATTTTTACCTTTTTATAATCAGCAGTTTACACTAAGCGTGAATGCAAGTACGAATGAAATCCTAAAACATGGTATCTAAGATGCATGCATAAAGCTCATGATGGTTTATATGTAGAATTCCTAAAGCAGGATTTCTAAATGCTCGGCAGGATTGCATAATTTATGAGTGAGGAGAATGCCAAAAAATGATATGCTGAGACAGTATACATGAGACCTAAGAGCATGGTTTCTATTGCACATACAGGAAATACAGACCTAAAGCATGGTTTCTACCCTCTGCATAACTACCCTCCCATTTCACTATCCAAACCCCAATGTTCGTTTACAAATTATTATAGACCATGTGAATGAATTATATGAGAAAAGTAAAAATTATACTATAGAGAGTCTGAAACAGGCCCCGACTTTTCAACACCTGATTTAGACTTCCTCCCTGAGTTATGTGATAAACCACCTCAAGTGCCAAGATTGTTCCATAGTTTTTCTCACATCTGGGTGTGTCAGAGTTCCCTAAGGACCTCAAGGAATCCCGGGCAGTGCTCACACCCAGATTTCATGGCCAAGACAGAGTAAGTGCAGTGTGGAAAAGGCTAGCTTTTATGTGTCCAAGTTCAGAGGGAGCTCAAGGGTCCCAAGGAAAGGCTCACACAAAATGGGCAGAACTTAGTGGTCTAAGAGTATATGTGGGAGTGCTTGTCATGGTTTGAAAAAGTAAAGCAAGTAGAGTTCCACAGTCTTG